CGTGGGTGGGCACGTGCCAGCGAGTCCCATGGCAGCACGAGCTGGAAGAAAGGCTTAAAATAAACGAGGTGGTCTGACGGGAAAGGGAGGTGCTGCCCATCCAACAGCCTGAAAGGAGCCCCCGGTGCCACCAAGGATGCAGGAGCACCAGGGGATGCAGGAGCTCCAGGGGATGCAGGAGCACCATCCTGGCCGTGCCCTGCAGCACACGGCAGGGGCTGGGCAGCATCGCCCGACCCCGCTGGCATTTCGGGACACGGTGATAAATGAGCCTGTAAAAACCCGAGTGATAAAGGGCCATAAATCCCCTGCATGGATGCGGGTAGGAGCCGTGCTGAGAAAGGTCACGCTGCCTGGCATTTCCCAGCGCGGTGATTACTGGTGGGCAGAGGCAACGCGAGGCTGAAATATCAGCAGGATTTCGGTCGGGAAGCAGTTATGGTGCTGGGCAGCCGGGCAAAATCCCACCAGCCCCATCCCACAGGTAGTGCCACCACTGCTCCTCAACCCCCCAGGCCACTGGAAGCCTTTTGAGAAGACCCTTTACCAGCCCCATTGGAGATGCCTCCAAACCCAGACCCTTCCCAGAATTACTACTTGCTTTGCAGATTTAGGCTGCCTGTATATTTATTTTTGCCTGCATTTATTTGCCTGCATCTCTTTCTTTTTTTTTTTTCTTTTGTCTTTTCTGTTTGTCTGAAGTTATGGCTCAATTTCAGGAGTTAAAGAAAACTCAGTTTATAAATAGTTTGCTCAAAGCACTGCTTTCCAGAAACGACAGAAGTCAGCTCCCAGCGAGCGCCGCTTCCCCACGGGAGGGTCGCTGCGAAGGGAGGGAGGGAGGGAGGGAGGGAGAGGGGGGGGATTTTCATCTTTCCCACATCGTCTCCACAAACAACATCTAACCTTCCTGAGAAAGCTGGCAGGAGTATTTTGGGCGGCTGCTGGTATTGGGGCCAGCACATTTCCCTGCTCTGAGCATGACAGCAGAGCCGTGGTGGCCAGGGATGGCCCAACCAGAGCAGCTCTGTCCCTGCTCCACACGGGTCACTTCACCCCACGCCGGGCAGGGGAGATGCCCCCAAACCAACGTGACGTTGATTTTGGGAAAGAGCTGGTGAAAGGAGGAAATCCATGGGGAATTGTCACTGTTGGAGTGTCCCTGCCTCTCCTCCCAGCGTGGTGCTCCTCCTGAGCCCGAGCTGGTCACACGAGAGCCGAGCTGCTGCTCTTGTCACCCCTTTTAAGGCTGTCACTGTTGTCCCCAGAGCTGCCCGTGCTGCAGGGCTGGGACCCGCTCCAGGAGGAGGGCGGCTGCGTGCCCACCGCTCCGGAGCCACCCAGTGCCAACGTGCAGGGCTGTCCCCAGCCAGACACCCTTGTACCCTCAGACAAAGCCCCCTCTGGGCCCAGCAAGACCAAACCCCCGCCCCAGGACAGCGGGCTGGGGTGGAGGAGCCCTGTTTGCTGCCACTTTTACCCCAAACCCATCCCTTGCAATGGGCAAGGAGTGATGCAACCAGATACGAACCTTCAAAGGAGACGGTTTCTTCCAGGACAGGGTTCTTGGAGCAACCTTTAGAAAGGAGCATCTCGAGCCAGGCTGGCTCATCACGCCACGTGCTGCTTCCTGAAGGCATCCCGAAGGATTCGGCACTGGGAGACTGGGATCCAGCCCTCTGCCTCCACAGGAAGGGTCTCCCAGCTCCTTAGGGACAGGTCAGCAGAGGCACGGCTGGCTCTTACCCCATTTCATTTCTTTTCCCCCTTCATGGGCTAAAAAGCAAAAGCAGGTACATCATTTTAAAATCACTGGGAAGGGGGGGGGTTGCGGAAAAGTCACATAATTTGGATCAGGTTTTAAGGACACGAGTCATCAGGGCTGAGCTGAGTTGATGAGAAACATATAGGGTTTTTTTGTCAAAGAAGAATTTATGTCAGCCTGACTAATGGGAGCAATAACGAGAGTGTTCGGGATGAATCATTTAGCAGGAGCAGGACGGAGGGCACTGCTAATGGGAGGAACCTATAGCCGGGATTTTGGGAAGAACAGGTTCATCACAGAAGCCGACTGACACTGGAGGAAGCCGGGCAGATCCAGGCACATCCCGACAGCCCGATGCTCCACCAGCCTCTCGGCCGTTATCCCGGTGAGCCAGGACACTGGTACTACTTGTACAGCCCAATTTCCTTTCTGACCCCTTTTCCCTCGGTCAGATTTACTGAATGTCTAGTGCTGGCAAAGGTATAAAGCTGATTTTATACCTTTGCAATTCTCCAGGCTGAGGAACCCGGAGGTAGCTAGAGAGCAGCAGCGATGGGCAAACGCTGGCCTTGGGCTGCTGGTTTGTATTAACTGGAGAGCTGGCCTCAATTTGACTTCTTTGCCTTTTTTTTTTTTTTTTTGGAAGCTGCTAGTGGGCACATCTGCACCAGAAAACCACCAGTGCATCCAAAGATACGTCCTAAAAAACTTACGGTCAAGAAGCTGAGAGGTCTTCACGGCTACCCTGGAGCAAGCCCTCCTCTGGGTGATGGTCTCGTTGCTTCCATGGTACGTGGGGAGCCAGCGCTGCGGGACGGGGACTGTCCTCCCCCTGTGCGTCCAGAGCCTCACCTCTGTGGATCAGGAACCCTCAGGACTTCTGGTTCCTACAGCCAAGTGGAAAAAAGCACTGCCAATAACCAGGACCACCGCAGCAGAGATCACCGCCCACCATCCTCCGGGGACCCAACCCCACATCAGGGACCCAAAAAGACCCTGGATCCGAACACCTCTCCCTCCCTCTGCAGAGCTTCAGCTCCGCTGGTGGCTCCCAGCCCATTTCCCAGCCCAAAAGGCAGCACCTGATACCCCGTCCCTCCCGCCCCGGCTCCTGGCATCCTGAGGTTTCACGGGGACCTTCAGCTTTCAAACCACATTTCTGGCTCTCTGACCCCTGAAGCAAGCCAGCCAGGAAACTCGCACACAACCGGGCAATAAAACTCCTTAAATACCCATATTTCAAGGCACCGGATGCGCAAGAGCTGGCTCCCAGCGCCCCTCGCACCACCGGCCTGCGCAGCAATTATAAACACAAATATTTGCTGCAATCTGTTTTCTATCTCCGCATCCCTCCTGGGCTCGGCTCGCCCCTCCCAGCCCGAGGAACGCCGGCATCTGCTCCTGCTTAAAACACCCTTCTGCAAACCCGCCAGCTTGTTCCAAAAAGGAGGGAGATGGGGGAAAGACAGCGCTCGGCTTTGCTGGCTTTTGTGTTTTGTTGGGGTTTTTTTTGTTGTTGTTGTTTTTCTTTTCTTTTTTTTTCTTTTTTTTTCTTTTTTAAAAAAAAAAGGAGGGTTCATACTTCTCCCTCTCTCTTTCTGTTCCTGCTCAGCATGGAAAGTTTTGCTTCAGCTCGCCCTTGTGACTGGAAAAAGAGCCAGTTCATCGTAGCAGAACAAGGGGGCTGTTTCTTCTTCTTTCTTTTTTTACTCCAGAGTTCTTAGGAAAGCAGTTTTGCAGGGAGGCTTCCGCAGAAAGGCAGGAGCAAGGTCCCCAGGGAAACCCCTGGCAGTGACCTGGGCTTGAGAAGTGATGAGGACTAAGACGTGGTGGGGATTCAGCTCGGTGGGTTTGTTGGGGGGAGAGAAAAAAGTCTGGGAGAAGGGGAGAGGACCCCCCTGGAGGGGAGCAGCATCCCACAGCCGTGGCAGAACCATTGCCCTCCCCAGAGAAAAGCTGTGCTGGTGTTTGGGGCTGGCACCAGGGATGTTCTGCCAGGCAAAAGTGCCCGGAGGCATTTGTGGGTGTCCCCGGGTGTTTGCTGATGCACACACTCATGTGTGAGGGGAGGGCTCAGGGCAGGGGAGGTGACAGAATTTGCCCCAGGTCACAGCACGGGCTGTGTCAGAGCTGGAGTAGACGCTCCATCTGCTGAGACCTGGAATCCAGGGGTTTAACCCCAGGTCCATGTTTCTTCCCCTAGATTTCCCAGGACAGTTTGGGAAAGGTGATAGCCCTGTTTTTTTTGCTCCCCAGATTCCTGCCTTCCCTCTTTCCTGGTGAAACCCAGGAAGAGAAGAGCTTTGCACCAGCACCCAATTCCTGTGCTCTCAGCCTCTAACTCTGTGCTGTCAGAGGGGTGTCCAAGGGAGAAGGCAGAGCCAGCGTGTCCTCCCCCACTTCCCTGAGCTCTTCAGGGCCAGGCAGGGATTTCCATCCCCGGGATGTGACCTTCCCAGGATGGCTGGGCTTTGTGGCCAGCTTCCCACTGTGGGCACAGATGCTCCTGCCCCAGGTGCCTGCACTTGCAGAGCCAGAGACTGTCGCGACGGCAGGAGCTGGCACAAGCTGTTGTATGGGGACCCCAGGGGATGGTGACACGTCTGCGTCACGGATGACAACACCGAACGGCCTCAGCATCACTGCTCAGACCCTCCCCGCTGCTGGAAAACACCCCAGTGGCTACCAGAGGCTGCTCGAGCCTTGCCAGGCTGCCAGCGCTTGCCCTCGCTCTGCAAAGGAAGGAGCAAACAGGGAGCACAACGGGAGGCTTGTAAAACCCTGGGTTTTGCCCATAAATCCGTTCTGCCCCTTCTTCCAGCCTCACCCCAAGTGCTGAGCATCTTCGCCCCACTGCGGGGTTGATCCTCCAGCATCAGGGGGTACCAGCATCCCCTCTGCATCAACCCTCCTCCCCAGGATGGCAGGAGCCCCATCTCTCTGGGGGTGGGCATGGAGCAAGATGATGCTTTTCCAGCCGCAGGGGCAGGACCCAAGGGGCTGCAGTTATCAAAGGCGACAGCTATCGCTGAAAAGCGGCAGGAGGATGCAGCAGAGCCTGCCAGGGCTCTGCTCAATGAACCAGCCCCATCACTCCGAGCAGGATGCGTTTGTGCCCACTCCTCTTCCATCCCCATCCTTCCCCCTCCTGCAGCCTCTCCAGCAGCAAAGGGATTTCCCTGCGCGGGGCAGAGCGACCATCCGCTCTCGTGCTGCGTGTGCCGAGGCATCCCTGGCACAGCTCCCCTTAAAAAAGCATTTGGTAGCACTCGAGCTGGAGCAGCAGGAGGGGAGGGGGTGGCAGAGGGAGCTGAAATAGCTCCTGGCTCTTCCCTGCATCCCTCCACCCTCCTCAAACCTTCCCTGGCTGGGAACTGGATATCCCAACCCATCCCGGTCTCTCCAACAGATGCATTTATGGGCTTGTCATAATTGCAGGTTTCTATTTGATTACAAGGGAGGCATCAGACCCAAAAGCCACTGAAGTCCATGTGGACACCAAAATCCAACCCTGGGTCAGCTATAAATGGCCCAGCCCTGTCCACACAGCCTTGCAGGCTCTGAGTGCCACCAGGCTCAGGAAGGAGGTGAAGTCCCCTTCCCTGTGCCCTGGGCTTTGCTCTAAACCCCTGCACCACTCCAGGACCCAGCACAAACACCCCTGAGCCTGACCACTGGCTTAGATCCCATTTTTTCTCGAAAATAGGAAAGCTTGGAACACACCTTGGAGCCTGAAGAAGTTTGCAAACAACCCAGCCGCATTCTCCAAATCCTTTCCAGCTCTACAGAGGTATCGAAACGTTGACTAAGGAGCTGCACGTGATCTACAGGCAGATATAATAAAGAAGAAAGCAGGTCAGATTTTGGCTGCTCACCAACACAGCCACCATTTCACTGAGTCAAACTGAGTCTTTAACACAACTGCCAGCAGGAACCCGACACTGTCTGGGGTTCCCAGACCCACCTCCACCACATCTTCCCAAACCCCTCTTTGCCTGGAAAAGCTTGTGCAGGGGATGAAGGGGCTGCTTTAGAATTATAAAATCATTCAGATTAGGAAAGACCTTTGAGATCACTGAGTCCAACCATAAGCTTAGCCCTGCCAAGTCCACCACGAAACCACATCCCCCACATCTTCACATTGTTTAAATACCTCCAGGGATGGCAACTCAACCACTTTGCTGGGCAGAACTCTTTGGAAGAGTTCTTTGGGTCCAGAACCAAACCAGAGATTTCTCTGGATCCTCCCACATCCCTGTGGCTCCGGCTGCATCTCCCTGTGAATTTAGGGAGCCCTCTCTCTGCCCCAGCATCTTTCAGCTGGGTAAAGCCCGTGGGCTGGGCTCCCCCTCTTCTCTGGGAAAAGTAAAGTCCGGAATTAAATTATTAGTTTGATTAACATTTAGGGGGCAGAGAAGGGTGCAAAATCTGTGGAAAGTTGCTCTCAGGACCAGCAAGGCTCTCAAGGACAATCACTGCCGTGCTGGGGTTCTCCACATGCCCTGGGCTCCCCGCACCAGAGGCTGCATTTCCAGCCTGGAATTGCAATGGCTTGGAAAAGATGCAGACTCATATGGTTGGAGGTGGTCCCTGCCCGAGATGTCATCCCATGCCCCACTGAAGGGAATTATTGCTGGATCAGTGCAACAACAAGTTTTTTCCAGTGGTGTGGCTGCAAAGCATCACCTATTGGTATGGTAGAAAATCCTGCAGTGGACCAGAACCATCCAGCAGCATCCTCTCCCTGACTGAGGGCAGTAAAAATGCTGTAGAAGTAGGATAAATCACAGAAAAGAACACAAAAATGAGCTATTCTGCCCCCATGTAGGTTTTGCTGCCGTCCCTTAATATTCAGTGCCTGTAGATGAAGCAATTTCTGCACCAGGAAGGAATTGCTGGTATTAACCATCCTGCAGCGGGACGAAAAACCATCAGCAAAAAGAAAGGAGAAAGGACATTGTTTGAAAATCCAGACTCCAGGTTGGAACGAGTTAATCCCAGGCTGTGGCCGAGGTCCTCCCCAACCATTTCAGTAGGATTTCAGCCCCCTTTCAAAAGGGGATTTTGCAATACATTGACTTACATTGCAAAATGAAAAGTAATTTGGAGCTGAGAAATGGATTATGCTCTGCCGAGAAAGTGTTCGACTGGGGTCTTTTGACAATTTGGAAAGCTTTCCTTTTTCTTCTGAAAAACGTGTTGAAACAGAAATCTGTTGAAACCAATATTTTTCTATAAACACGCTGGGTTTCAACAAACCTCCATTTTTCAAGCAAAAACAGTTTGTCTAAAAATAACCAAGGGGTTCTGCTTGGGACCGGTCTCATTCCCACAGCACATGGGCAGATATTTCCCCCAAAATGTGCACTGCCCCATCACGGGAGGCATTTCCATGGCTGTGACTTGCAGCAAGGCCTGACCAGCAGCTTTTTGGGTGTCAGAGGTGGTTTTTGCAGTCAGAAGGGATGAAGCAGTGGCCGTGGGCAGGGAGCATCTCTCCAGCTTCTCGGGGAAGTCCCAGCAGGGAGGCAATAGCATCCCTCCTGCAAAGAGTGTGCCCAGCGCTGCAGCAGCTCCAGTCCCCTGTTCCAACAGCTGCTACTCTGTTTGGGGTTTATTTAAGGAAAATAAATAAATAAATAAAAAACCTACAGTTTTCACCTGAAAAGTGTTTGGCATCATTTAATACCCCCAGCTACTGGGACTCTCTCATCTGCAACCGTGAAAGCTGATCAAAGCGCAGCGGAGAGCCGCAGCAGCGGAGCCACGGATCGATGGGGCCACAATTACACATTGATTTTTTTTTTTTTTTTTTTTTCCCTAGGCAGCTACTCTCATGCCACCAGCATTCCCCTCCCTCCCGGCCCTCATCACACTCCATCTCCGCAAGACAAATCGGCAGGATGGGGTTGGGAGCAGGAATTTCCCTTGCTCGATAATCTCAGCCTTGAATTTTTCTTCAAGCCGTGGGGCAGGATCAGCAATGCTACTCTCATGCCACCGGCATTCCCCTCCCTCCCGGCCCTCGTCACACTCCATCTCCGCAAGACAAATCGGCAGGATGGGGTTGGGAGCAGGAATTTCCCTTGCTCGATAATCTCAGCCTTGAATTTTTCTTCAAGCCGTGGGGCAGGATCAGCAATTCCCCCGGCTGCCCCGAGCCCTGGCCCCTCTCCCATACTGGGGACACCAATCAGGCACGTTTCCAAAGACCCAGTAATTAACGAGGCACAGCCAAGTCTCCAAACTGGGGCACGAGAGGCATTATGGCAGGGGGCTCTGCCAGGGCTGGGGGTGGAAATATCAAGACATGGTCCCTTCCCCTTGCAGGGAGGATGCTGCGGCTC